AGAGAGAGAGAGAGAGAGAGAGAGAGAGAGAGAGAGAGAGAGAGAGAGGAGAGACAGATGGCAGTGTCCTGATGAAGCTAGAGGTACAGAAGAACCAAGCGTTCAGGGACATTCAGGGAGAAACCCACAAAGCATTTTGGAGTCAAATAACCTCATACGGAGGGAGCGAGAGCAGTATGCGCTTCTCTACAAGCCGAAAGCTGACTCGTTCTGAAAGTTGTGGGAAGAAAAATCATTTGAGGCTTAGTAATAAATGTTTAAAATGTGTGCTCAGGAAGCTGATGACGAAGAGAATGTCGGTGAAGGATTGTTAGGGAACGAGACATGTCTTTAGTAGAGGAAACCCCAAAGGTTAACTGGAATGTACTTTTTAATTGAAATGTTTGCTTGCTGGTCTTTGAAACTGGAAATCATAGCTCTTGGTTTCAGGGGAGAAGGTAGCTACAGTTCTGTTTGTGACATGGTATATTTAGACTACAGCCTTCCACCAAAGTAAGAAAATGATGGGTGTTAAGCCATCATGCCAAGCCTAAAGAGCCCTAGAATTAAAGGCCTGAATTTTAAATGGATCCGTCCAAAGAACCTAACCAGGGTCTTCGAAGTGAAAGAGAGAAAATAGTTGGTACTCCAGAGCTTGTAAAACCACGCTGCTTAGGGAGCACAGTGTATGTGGTAAGATGCTGATTTGCTTGGTTTAACAAGTACTAAAGGAGACTGCAGCTCCAATGAGAGAGAAGGCCCCAGTCCTGGAGGACAGTTCTATTTCAAGAGAGCATCCAGGACCAGGCTCTTTCATCACAGGGCTCTGCCATCTCTAGAGAGTTCTTTTTTCTTGACTGAAGAAGACCGGTCACCACCATGTCTTCAGTCTTGCTAGAGAAAGGGGGAGGGGCTGGAGAGATGCCTCAGAGGTTAAGAGCACAGGCTGTTCTTCTTGATGACCCAGGTTTAATTCCTAGCACCCACACAGGCTCACAACCACCAGCCCAAGGGAATCAGGTGCCCTCTTCCGGCCTCTGTGGTACACAGACATACATGCAGACAAAACCCCATACACATAAAATAGCAAAAATTTAAAAAGGAAAAGGAAAAAGGAAAGAAATGGGGAGACAAAGGTAGTCAGAGGCCGCATGCTCTTTTCCCAGAGGACGACCCAGAACTTATACTTACCACTTCTCTTTAGCCACAGTTTTGTCTATGGCCTCACCTAGCCACAAGGGAGACCAGAAAACAATAGTGTCCCCTAGCCGCTGCCACCATGTGACTGTGTGCTCAGCTGAAATGAACGAGGAGCAAATGAAGTGACGGAAGCTCTCAGCAGTCTCGGCCACACTCATAAGTGGGTCCATGTGGGGTGTTTACTTTATGCATGAGGACTTGTGTATGTGGACTGCACGGTAGTAGGATCAATGAACTGTCTTTCTTTGTTGCAGGTTAATCCGAATGGTCCAGCCTGGTGCTGGTGGACATTAGCGGTTCTTCCCCTGGAAAGCAGAGCTCAGCTCCCGTTCTTAGCAATGAGGTCCCTAAAGGATAGACTGAATGGTATTCGGCGAATCCTGGCCTTTATATCCAGAAACCAAAATTAGGGGGAGCAGACTGGGGAGGAAGCATTTCCACCCTCTCCACTGCCCCGGGGTGATGGTCTTGTAAAAATATCTAATTGCAATAACATGTTAACAGAAGAGAGTATCCTAGAGAGATGTTGCTCTGCTTTTTGATCACACAGAAGTTGAGTAGGAAGACCGAAAGGATGTGACCTGTTTGACTTTCTGTCTTCAGATGCTTTTTGACACTAACAGCCAGAGGTGTGGAAGAGCCCAGCAAAAGTCGCTGTTTAGTGTCAGTTTTTCTGAAAGTGGGACGGGACTTGTCTTTTGTAGCTGAGTGACTGTGTGGTTGAAATGTGAAGCAGATGCGGGCATCACTGTATTCTTTCACTGACTTGAGGTCTCATTTCAAATGGTTCAGGTTTTATAGAGCATTGTGTAAAATAATGTTCAGACTTCTTTCTGTTTTAATAATTTATTTTTTTGCACTACTGCATCCTTTTTCTACATGTACGTTTGTAACTATTTAAGTGTACGTTACTGAGAAGTCCATTGCTTTATTTATTGAAGTGGTTGGCTGTGTGTAGGGGAGTAACAGTACTAAACATGTGCAATGTTTTCTTTACTTTTTGTTGAATTAGTGCCAATTCTTAGGCCATTTTTTATATAGTTCTTGTCTATTGTAGTGGACTAAGTTTCGAAGAATTTCAGAAGGATTCTGAGGTGGTTCATCTTCGCAGATTCCACTCTTTCAGTTAGAGTTAAGTGATAGAAAATACTTACTTGATTTGGCATAAGTTGCAGCGTGTGTTACTGTGAAGTAAAAGGATACAATTTGTGGGTGTAATGCAGAACAAGGCTGAAAGAATTCTTCAAGAACAGAGAGGTACATTAGAAGTGTCTTTTATTACAATCTTTTAGAGGTATTCGTTTCAGGCAATCGGATGACAGGTGTATTAATTTCTCCCCAGTTCAGTTAAGGATAAGCTTGATATTTACCAGGTGTTTCAGAGAGAATGGCACCAAGACCCGTACCAGCACCTGCTGGAATACTCGAGGGGCTATTCCATCTTCAAATCGTAAAAAAATCAGATTGGTTAGAGCCCACTTTTAAATCTCTATGAAAGAACCAGAGAATGAATCTACGATTTTATGTAAACACTGCCTTCCCTCTTGGTAACAATGGGCCAAAGATTTCAGTGGGAAAAAAGATTTTCATTGGGAGAAAAGAAGGGGAAAGGGTAGGAGTGGCATTGCTTAGCTTGCTTAGTGCTAGTTTGAGTCCTTTGGTGTTAGAGAAACCTGAAAAACAGTGTGGAAGTGTTTTAACGGCAGAGAAGAAAATTAGAGCCAGGAAAAGGAAATTGTCACATTTGTTTCTTGTGCAAACTACTCCCAGGTGATTTTGGACAGCTATGGTGTGTTATTCACGTGTAGCCCCTCCATTCTGTTAGCAGCACGCGGGGGGGGGGGCGGGGAGAGAAAGAGAGACAGAGAGAGAGATTGATTCAAGGATCAGTTCTTCTGTAACCACCAGTGGGGTTTGAGTGTGTGAGAGAGGTGCTGTACATATGCTGTAAAGAGACTCCTGTAAGCAAAAGGTACATGAGTGATCATCTACACTTGCTTATCTAGGCTGTATTGGCAGAGCATCATCAGCTCAGCTTTGATGTTTGGAATAATCTGGGCGAGTGGAGAATGCAAGTGTATGAAATGAAAATACAGGAGTGGACACGATCTGAGTTAAGTCTAGAGGGCTCCGAGAGCAGGAAATGACGATGCTTTCCCCTCCCTCCTTATGGCGAAGTCCTAGTATGATTGTTTCCTATACTGCAGTGCAAACACAGCAGAGAAAAAGGTCAAAAGCTTCCCAGGTACTACACGTGGTACTTTTGCATTAATTTAACTGGCATTGAGCTCCAGTTTCCTCATATATGAAATGGTACTGGCGCTCACTTCAGCAGCACATATACTAAAATTGGAACGGCACAGAGAAGATTATCATAGCCCCTTTGTAAGGATAGCACACAAATGTGGATAGTATTCTATATTTTGTATTAAAAGATGGAATGGTGGTGATGTTAATAGCATTTAGGTTTCTTGGGAACATTAAATTGGACTTGTCAGAAATTACTTAACACAGTGCCTTGATGATGAGAGAGACAAGCTATAACTGTCACCAGCCATGTCGTACCCTGTTATCAGCAGTCTACAGTTAGGTGAAGCCCTGCCTTTACTGGCACTACTCACTTACAGCCACTTTAACCTTGGTGGGTTAAAGGTTCTTGGACCACAACTCGATGGTTTGCAAGTAACTCCTACTGGGGGGTGAAGCTAGGAAAGTTGAGCTGGTGCTATGGCTCAGTTGCTTGTGTTTGCCTTACCTGCGTGGGTCACTGGGTTCTAGCTCCAGGACTGTAGAAATAGAAGAAACGTAGATAAAACGAAAGGACTGGAGAACAAGCGAGTGTTAGCAGTAGGGACTAATTCTATGTCAAGAAAATAGCTCCCATATTAATAAGGCCTAAAAAGCAATGCTGTATTTGGGGGATCTAAAATTCCTGATAGAATGGAAGCCTTAAGTTGTAGCTCCATGAGTATGACCACATCATCCTTCCCTGTTTTCAAAATGTGTTGATAATTTCAGCTATAAATAATTAGATTTCACCATCTATAGGTTTTGCACATAGCTAATGGTATTTCATTATGCTATCCCAAATAACAGGCTCTCCAATAGTGTGTTGAGAACTTGCCATGTACCAGGTACTAAACTGAGTGATCTCATTCACCTGAACACATGGAATAACCTTTAGACAGCATTGTTAACCAACATATATGGAGAAGGAAACAGAGGCTCAGCAATTTTAAAGAATATGCCTAGGTAGCATGTTCATTCAATGAGTGGCCGAGCTTGATTCTTTGCCATCACATTACACATTTTATTCAATAGACATGGCAGTCAAATCACAAAACACCTTGCGAGCTCAAAGTGAGAAGTGCCAAACACATCTCTTGTTAGTCTAAGGGAAAGAGGAAGTTTGGCTTCTTAATAAAACCCCATTGGTAAGAGCGTACCCAATCTGAGCACATGGAAATCTTGGCCGGGCTGAATAGCATGTTCCTCTGAGCAGTCTGAATCCACATTGGGTTCGTTCTCCAGCCAGCTTTTGTTTCAGTGATGGCGGGAAGCAGGAGAGTAGGCTTTAACTTTCTTCGAGATGTGCATGAGTGGGATAATCAGTTGAACTTGACCATCTTTAGCACTTGCAGATTGGTTCTGCTTCTTAGTCTCGGCTGGAAGGACAAGAGTCCCCCCTTGTAGACAGTGCCACTTTCTTGGGTTAGTCTTCCTTTCTAGCGTGACTGACCCAGTCCTTTCCCTATAGATTATTTTCTTTGTGTGTATGTGTATGTGTACGTTTGTGTGTGTGTGTGTGTGTGAATGTGTGCGTATACACACGCATACACTAGGTAGCAAGCAGACCGTATGCCTTTCTGCTTTGTACCGTACCACTGCTGCTAGCTAAAAACCAGCAAAATGTAGAAAGTGAAACATGAAGAAACTACTTTTCCGTGGATAATTTGAAGAAAAGGGTGTTTACTCCTCACTTTTGGGGACAGAGAACTATTCCAATAGCTTGCCTTCCTGAAGGTCAGCTGCTTCAAGTTCAATGCTGCCTCAATAGCAGAGTTGAGTTACGGCACATGTGGCGCTGCCATCTCTGCCTATGGAGCTGACCTGGGTTCAGAGAATCCCCTGTGACTAGCCACAGAAGCCTCAGAACTCCCATGCCTGGGTCACTGTACCCAGAGGTCTCTTACAGCCAACAGGTCATGTCCTGTTGATGGACTGCAACCCACCGGGGCCTGCATTTCCTGTGCCAACTCCATTTCCGCCTTGTGAATTTTAACGGTCGAGTCATTCCTTGGGTTGTAAGCTTGTTGACTGTGTGTCCATTTCTACTCATCAAAGTAGACGTGGGCAGGCGGGAAGCCCATTCTAGGGCCTAAAGAATAAGATTTTGATTCTGGATGGAAGACAGCTCTGAAAAGCAAACAGGACATGGGCTTTGCTTTCTGGCATTTCTCATGTAACAGAGAGCAGGAAGGGAAAGGAGCCATGCACAGTGTACACATCCAGTTGCTTTTAGAATGGTAGAACCCGCCCACTCCACTGCTTAACTACTCGATGCTATGGACACTCATCCACAAGTGAAACGAAGAACTTTTCACTTAGAAGTGGGTGTGCCCAACCATATTAAGTTAACCTCCGGAGAGAAGTGCCTGGAACCGCTGTTCCTGGTGTCTCTTTCAAGCTTTGGCTTCACGACCTTGTAGCATTTTATAACTGTTCGCAGCCACAAATGTGATTAACAGAAGTTTACACGGCAAACACTGTACCTTGTGCATTATCTGAAAAGTCCGCTGACTTTCATCCGTTGTTCAAGTGACGAAGACAACCCGTGAGATACAAAGAAGAGCTAATAGCTCAGTGTGCCACCATCGGCCGGTGTTAGATAAACAAGTGTCATTTTTGTATGCAGTTCTCTTTGATGCCGGGATTAAAACATCAGGCCACTTAAATGGTGGCAAGTGTGTGTGTGTGTGTTTGGTTTCCATTTGTTTGTTAACCAACCGTTTTACTTTTGCACAGAGTTGAAGGGAAATTAAGATAACGCTCCCTCCCCACCAATGCTATTCAACTACCTCTATATGCCTGGTTTTGTTTTAGGGGTTCCCTTCTTCTAAATCCGCACATAGTTTCAGCTCATCTATGTTGTAATCGCAATGTGATGTAGCCAGTCTCTGTGAAAATTGTTTGTTCATTAAACAAAAGTTTCCTGTTGTCTCTGTGTCAAAGTGTATTTTCTCCTAGAAAAATAGTTAATTGGCCCGAATGAGCCTGGGGGTACAGGAGTGCAGTCCCAGCTACGTGGAAAGCTGAGGCGAGGGGATTGCAAACTCATCGCTGACCTAGGTAATGTAGACCCTGTCGCGAGAACTAAAAATTAACCTTAGTTGTGCAGGCCTGTAATTCCAGCTGCATTGGAGGGCAGGGCAGAATGGTTACAAGGCCAAGGCCTGCGTGGGTTACAGAGTGAGTTCGAGGCCAACCTGAACAATTCCATGAGATCTTGTTTCATAAATAAATAAATAATATATAAATAAATACCATAAGAAAGGATTGGAGATACAGCTGAGGCAGAACACTTGCCTAGCATACAGAAGGCCCTAGTTTCCATTCCCATTCCCACAGAAATATGGATTTTTGGGATCCAGTCTGTTTGGATGCTCACCTTCCTGGACCTGGAGGGAGGGGGGAGGAACTTGGACTTCCCACAGGGCAGGAGACCCTGACTGCCCTTGGGGACAAAGAGGGAGGAGGAGAGGGAGGGGGGGAGTGGGAGGGCATTGGGAGGAGGGGCGTAAATGGAAACTTTTTATAATTTAATAAAATTACTTTAAAAAAAAAAGAGGAAGCAGTAGCCGGCTGCTTTCAGTAGCACTGGAAAAGGGGCATGTACCCTGTCCTCCTATTGGTGCTAAGATAATTTGATGACAAGACCCTTTAAAGAACTGGGTGTGTGGCTCCGTGGTAGTTCACTTGCCTAGCATGAGCCAGGTCCTTAATTCAATCCACAGCACTGCAAAGATTAAGCTGATACAGATGAAAACATTTCTTCATGGCACCAAGACTGCGCCCCAGCAGCAAACACTAACATATATGGCAATGAGGCAGGTGTGAACAGATGGTCATGACTAATATGTTCTGAAACACTGGCTATAAATTGAGTGTCTTTTAAATACAAAACAAAAACACTGGGAAGGTCTGCTTATATTTAACAACCTATTTTTGAAGCATTTTCTTTCTCCCTTTCCAGCCATCCCTGCTTCTGCATTTACCGAAGGGGATCTTTTGAGCATCCCTTTTACTCTTTAATAAGTCCGTAGATGAATCCAGTGTATTTGGCCCTATCCATCCCATACACCCCACCCCTCCTCTAACTCCTCCTGTACCTCCCCTACCATGTTTCCTTTCCACCTGCGAACCTGGCCCCCTTGTTTTCTCGAACCCGCTGAGTGGAATGAGTGCTACCTGGATGTGTATAGGTGTGGGCCCATCCCCTGAGGCATGGGGAACATTCCAGGGGCCACACATCCAAAGAAAAAGGCATCTTCCTCCTCTAGAGTCAGTAGCCCCTCAGCTAAGGGTTTAAGCATTTTCCAATTATCTGTCCAGCTTCCTTGTAAATAAAACATTCCTGTATCGTGGTTGAGTTAAGCGATGCTATTTCATCACTAGAGCTGCCATGGGAGAAGGCTAGACTTTTTGTTACCTTATCATCCAATGTGTAATATGTTTGATGAACTCTTTTATCCTTTTATTTTTTTTATGTTTAAGCTTTTTAAATTTTCATTGAGTGGTTTATCGAGAAGAGCTTAAAGGGAGCTGAGGAGATGGCTGAAGGAGTAAAGGCACTTTGCTGCTGAGTCTGATGATCTGAGTTCAATCCCTAGAATGCACATGGAAAACACGCACACACACACACACACACACACACACGCATGCACTAGCTAAATAGAAACAAAGATGATTTTTTTTAAAAAAATAATAGCTTAGGGAGGGGTGGGAGGGTGTGTGGAAGGAGTGGGAGGAGGGGAGGGGGAATTTGGATTGATATTTTTTGAAGTAATAAAACAATAATGGTAATTTAAAAAAGAATAACTTAAACCTGGGGGTAGTAGCGTCCACCTTTAATCCCAGCACTCAAGTGGCAGAGGCAGGTAGAGTTTGAGGCCAATCTGTTCCACAGAGCAAGTTTCAGGACAGCCAGGGTTGTTACACAGAGAAAACCTGTCTCAGGGAGAGGGGAGAATAGCTTAAAGGTGAAGCTAAATCATGAGGCAGTTTTATGGCACTGAGGATAAAACCTGAGTCTCACAAACCCCAAACGAGTGCTGTGCCACTGAGCTCCAGCCTCAGCCCAGCACCAACTGAATGATAGGAAAACTGATAAAACTCACTGGGCCCTTGTGTGATATTAACCAAACTG